GGGGGGGGGGGGCACTGGCATAGTTACACCAGGATGACTCACTGGTCTTCTGATATGTGAGCAAAAATGACACCACATGAATCCACAGGGGCGAGGCCGTGTCACGGCTGAGCCCGGGGGAGTGGGGGTCTGCAGCTCGCTGGGCAGGTGTGTTGCAGTTCGTGCTGCTGCTGACTCCGTGGGGATCCGCAGCGATGAGCACTGAAGGTTCTGCTCTGCCTCTGCCCCTCCCAGTGTCAGTCACCCCTCCTTCCCCCTCATGCTTTGCCTTTCGTGAGCACATCCTGGCCGCCCCCAGCCCAGCTGCAGGGAAGGCCCTTCGCGTGCGATGGACTCGATGTGCCCTCCTTGCACGCTTCCCTGGGAGACTGGGAAGGCTTCCCACACGTTAGAGATTAGAGTGTTTTTCCTTTACCTTTAGAGCTTTTTGTTTTTTCCTTCCAGGAGTCAGGAACCCTCTCCCTGGTTTTGCTCTTTTCGGTCTCCTGTTTGATGGTACCCAGTCTGGGATCATCTTTTTTGGGCCTGTTTCTACCTTTCCACCAATACATGTACCGTCAACAAATGCTAAATGCCCTTATTACCTGTTACAAAGGGACCCTGTGGAGAGGTTTCACTCTTGGTGAAATGTGAAAATTTTTAACTTGAATCCCTCAGTCGTTTCTGTAATATGTTGCTTTTTATTTCATTATCTATATTTAATGATTTGCCCCTAAGGGAGAATATGTTTATTCTCAATTGTTTGATAGTTTCTATTTAGAAAATAACTTTAGCCTGGCCAGTGTGGCTCAGTAATTGAGCATTTACCTATGATCCAGGAGATCAAGGTTCGATTCCCGGTCAGGGCATGTGCCTGGGTTGCAGGCTCCTCAGTCCCTAATGGGAGGCATGCAGGAGGCAGCCGATCAATGACTCTCATCATTGATGGTTCTCTCTCCCCCTCTTTATGAAATCAGTAAAAATATGTTTTTAAAAAGTAACTTTAAGGGGGTAGCCTTTTTATTGTAATAAGCTCAGACGTTAGCAGGCATCAAAGTTCCTTAGAGAGTTTTGAAAACATGGAGTTTCACACTCAGGAGATGGGTGGTGTGGCCTAGTGATCTGCATTTCTAACTGGTCCTGGGCGGTGCTGTTGTGCTGGTTGGGCAGGTGTGGAGAATAACCTTGCTGTAATGTGCTGCTTTACTTTGTGGTGTTGGAACACGGCGTTGTCTAGGTTACGTGTCAACAGCTGGCCTTTCTCTTGCAGGTACAGCCTGTCCTACATCCCGTATGCGAGGTGAGCTTGTTTGAATCCCATCGGTTTCTGGTCCTCTGAGTAGCTTCACAAAAATACATCAGTTTTAGTAATTTTCACATTAAATTGTTACTTATGAGGCTCACTTTCCCCCTAAAGGAAATGATGAAAGTGTGAGGTGAGTAGGAGGAGCCTGTGTGTAAGGGCACTCAGTGCGTGTAGTGGGCAGGCTGGGATTTAACTTCTGCCTCAACCAGAACCTTTGCAGCCGTGGAACCTGGACACGGGATTCTGGATCCTTCCATGACTGCAAATGTTCAGTAAATAGGATGTGGAGACACCAGCAAAACAAATTCTACTTAAAAAAAGGAAGTTAGTGGAAAAGGGAGGTCTGACACATGGGTGCTGTTTTGAGCCAGTAGAAACATTTATTCTTTGTCAAGACCATTTATGCTTTTTCAGAGAAATGCACTTAATGTGGTCGTGGGGGGGAAGGAAGACTGATTGTAGCCTTAAATCTGAGTCAGAAACATTGTTGACACACAGCTTTGCTTCTTTGTAAAATCTGGAAACACAGGTTGTGCATGAGAAACAGCAGTTGTGTTCCTAATAATAGTGAAGGAAACGGGTAGAAATTCTATTTCTATTGAATTCCAAGGGGATAATTCTTTTGGGTAAACTCAAGGAAGAAAAGCCAGCTGTGGTTGAGTCCAGTGTGCAAGCTGCGGAGCAAGAGCACTGGAGTGACTTCCTTGCTTGGCCCTTTGCAGGAGGTCCCTGCCCTTTCTCAGCGAGGGGCGAGGTCGCCTAGACAGGTGCCACTCCCTGCAACGCGAGCTCACAGCCATGGCAAGGCTTCCAGAACGGGGCCCGCCCTCCCCCCAGAGTGCGGATCCTGCACAGAGAGCAAGGTGCAGGTCGGCCCACAGGGCTCCAGCTCGGGTGCCTGCTTCTGACAGGCTTCATAAAAACAATAGGTTCCAGTAAACACAAGTATTAGTAATACTGCAGACAGAGAAAGTACTAAAGGCAAATGGATTTTATCACATGAATTTTTAAAATTCTGAGCATGCAGTTACAGTTTGTTTTTTTAAAATCCAGCCTTTTTTTTTTAAATGAGTCCTTTTGTTTGGTTATCTTTGGTATTTAAATCTGTTTCTTTATAGTAAGATTAGTGGATGTGCTGGTAAAGGTTCCTAAAGTAAGTGTCACTTCAGAAATTAACCAGTGTGTCCAACTGCGCTCTTGATTCCAGGATGCTCAGCACAGTGAGGTGTCCGGTCCCCGAGTTCTAACGCAGATGGTCGTGCACTTGTCTGTTGGCAGAAATGTTCTCTGACAGTGGGCAGGGCAGGTGGTTACGTTGTTTTCTCCTTTCCCCACCAGGGATGCCGTCCTGAAATGCTGTTCCTCCCTCCTGGGCTAAACCCCAGCAACTTCACAAAGGGGCTTGAAGTTGCTGCTGTTCTGGGTGGAACATGTTTTCCTGATACGTGGCCACTCCCTGCCCACTGCAGTGCCAGTCGGGACGCCTGTGCCCTGGTGAAGTCGCGAGCTCGATACACTGCAGGATGCTTGTAACGCTAGATTCTGTGTCATTAATACTCTTCCAGACACAGGGAGAGCTTAATCATCGCCCATTGTGAATGACTTTTAGCCAGTCTTTTAATCTTTTCTAAACAGCATTTGAGATGTGAATATTTAAGGATAAATCTGTGCTGTGCCATATAGTCAACTTTTTTGGTTCTTCTAAAATATCTAGACTTTAAAAATACTTTTAAAAAAAATACTTTAAATGTGAAAATTTTTACTTTAAACTAAAAATTGTTTATTATATGTAATAAAAATAATATATAAATCTTTACACTTTTGAAATAAACCCGTTCTTGGAAAAATAACCTTTTCTGGATCAAATTTACAATCTTTTAAGTGAGCAGCACTTTGGTGCAGTTCGGTAGAACTTGGTGTGGACTCTGGTTTCTCTGTGGAGCAGGTGTGAGCCACAGTCTCGCTGATGCTCACGGCACAGGTGTGTAGAAGATGGTAGGACTGTGCCCCAAGTGCATTTGCAGGTGTGTTGTCCAGGGTGTGCCCTGAGCACAGCAAGGGGGAAGACCAGGAGGAGGGTCTGGGTGCAGGGTGGAGGGAGCTGACAGCCAGGTCTGGGCAGGTGAGGTGACCAGCCACCAGCAACCCAGGGCTGGGGGACTGAGGCAAAGAAGAGCCTGCTTGAGGTGGAGCCGAGGTGGAGAAGCAGACAGCATGGTGGGGTTTTCACCAAAGGAGACCCTGAAAGGGACACGCAGGTCCGGCCCCACCTGGGGAATGGGCACAGCGCTGCCTCGGTGCAGAAGGAACTCGCTCCCGCAGGCCTGACCGTAGCCTTGGGGTGGGCCTGTGCTCCGTGGAAGGCAGAACGGCTGAGCCGGCCCACTGCATCCGCAGGCTCCACGCCTGTGGATTCAACCAGCTGCGGATCCCAAATTCTTGGGACAAGAAAGGCTTCGCAGGTGCCCTGTCTGGTGTGGCTCAGGTGATTGGAACGTCCTGTGCATCAAAAGGTGGTGGCTGGGTCCCAGTCGGGGTGCACTTGGGAGGCAACCGATTGGTGTTTCTCACGTCAATGTCTCTCCCTCTCTCTAAAAAGGCATCTTCAGGTGAGGATTTTAAAAAAAAAGGCTTTGGCTGACCTTTGACATCCCTCAGGCCAGGTCTCCAGTGACCAGTCTGGGGAGAGTGCATGGCAGTGGTGAACCTCACTTTCTCTTGGAAGAAATGCCCAGTTTCTGCTAGTTTCTGCTTAACCCGACCCCAGCCTACAGACCTCAGTGTGGGGGCTCTGGAACCCCACTGCTGGGTCGCAGCTCCTCCCCACCCGCTGGAGCTGTGTGATGTTGGGGTGCCCCCGCCCCCGTTTCCCTGTGGAATGGAGAGTGACAAGCCAGGGGAGTTTGTGGACACATGGGTTCTTACGGGACTGCCCTCAGCACTGGGAGGCTGCCGGAGGGAGGAAGCGGAGAGAAGCCATCGCCCGGGCCACGGCCCGCTCAAGTCCCTGGGTGTCTGTCCAGCTGCTGGTTCTTCCCTCTTGGGCCGTGCCCACAAGAAAAGGTGTTTGACCCCTTCCCCCCATCTCCAGTCCTCCACTCCTGGCAAAACTCCGCTGCTCCTGCTCACAGCTGGTCCCACAGCCTGGGGCAAGGCGCACGGGCGCTTTCTGGACCTGCGGAGACCTGCGGCCGAGGCGCTCAGGACACCTGAGCCGGGCGGACAGGGCCCCAGGCCCGGGTGGGAGCCGGAGGGCCTCCGAGTGACGGGGCAGCCCGAGCTGTGTCTTGAAGCTGCACCTGCACATTTCTGGAGACTGACCTGTGGGGCGTTTGGGGGTGCTGGGGGAGATCGCGGTGCTAACCTTCCCCTCCCCGCGGCGGTGAGGACGGTTTCTGGCACCGTCAGGGTCGTGCGCGCCTCCGGCCCTGCC